GCGTCTGCGGCGGCTGGCGAGGCCGGGCGGGCGGCTCACCTCAGCAGCTGGCGGAGAGATACGCCGACTTGGCAGCCAGCCAAGCCGAAGCACTGAGGCGGAGCGAGGAGCGGGAGCGACAGAGCCGGCGCTTGCTGGACGAGAACGCGCGGCTGAGGCTGGAGAACCGGCGCCTGCGCAGAGAAAACCGAAGCCTCTTCCGCCAGGTTTTGAAGCTTCAACACCAGCAGCAGGAGGCGGAAGTGGGGGCCGAGGGCGTGGTTTCCTCTAGAGAAGAGCCCGAGGGGCCGAGCGAGGTGAAAATCGCGCGAATTGGTGATGAAGACGGAAGCGGGGCGTTAATATAGTCTTTGCATCTCCCCAAACCAGATTCAAAAGGAAATGATTTTGTTTGTAGTAGGGATATTCTTCCAACTGATGGGGTGAGGGAGAGGCCTGCCTTTTCCTAAAAGATCATCGTTGCTTTTGCAGAAACAGGGAACAGCGACTATGTCCCTCTGTGTCTAGTAGTAATGCCAAGAAAAGGTGAAGGCAGCAGGAGAAGAGGAGGACCAACTATGAGATCGATCGAGCTCTTCAAGGAACTTTTGAGTTTTCAAGAGCTGAACAGAACTGTTACCAATTAAAAGATTTTGAAGATGACTTAGTTATAGGGTCGCTCTATGTCAAAGGTGACTTGATGGCACACAATGCCTTGCTTGGCTCTCTTTAATTAAGACGTCTGGGCTAGAAGACTGCTTCTGTCTGGCTATTTGCAATCCCCTCCTCTTCCCTCAGAAGCCTTTCATAATATAACAAGGCACCATGCTTGCAGTGAATAGCATAATAAGGCGCGATGGGACACTTTCAGAGAAGATTAGATGTCAAGAGGTTGGTTGCCATCACTTTTGACAGAATGGAAGTTCCTGTGAATCAGTTAAACAAAACCCTTAGAACAACAAGAAATAGATCTTGTACATAAGAACAGGTGGCTGTTCACTGAATTTGAAGGGTAATCATGTACAGTTAACAATTTTTTCCAAAGCTCATGTAAAATTTATTGATGAAACACTGGATTTCCACTGACAGTTGTATGTAGATGACTGTTTTGTGTATTAATTGCCTACTTTCTTGGACTTCTTGATTCTTGGGATGCAATGGTTATAGGTTATTACCACTCCTGCTGGCATGTTGAGCTTCAGAATAAAAATATTACTGTTGATGTTGGTTAATGGTTGTGTCCAAAAGAGATCTTTAGATCAGTTAATGGTTGGTTACTCGAAAGTATGGTCCACTATGTCATGGGAATAACTGTACACTTTAGTTTGTTTTCACAAGATTTGCAGTCACTGTAGTTGTAAACAGAAATGGGGGTTGTATATACAATTGATTTTATGAAGGTTTCAATAACCGTGTGTCATCAAGTCAGTACTGACTTATGGCAACCCTTTTCAGGGTTTTCTAGGTAGAAAAGACTTGGCTTACCATTCCCTTCTTCTGGCAGTGCCCTGTGACTGTGAAGCTTGCCCAAGCCCACACAGGCTGGCTCTGCTTGAACTCCCAACCAAGTTTCCCTCTAAGTCAGGTTCAACCCCTTTGGTTCTGTTTGCTATGGGACCCTACGTGTGTGTGTGTGTGGGGGGGGGGGGGGGAGTCCAATGTGTTTGA